TTTTGTACGTTTATGGTCGTTTATAGTGTGAACGCTCTTGAAGACTGGGCGAGGATCGATCTCGGAACTATCCAAACTAGATCGATCTAAAATGGAACTAGTGTGAACGAGCCCCTTCAATAGATACGGCACATTATAAGTTTGAAACCTACACACGCATTCCTCTATTATTCTTTTTGGAAAATAGTAAAATGAGTGGGGATGGAGGTCTTGGTTGCTTATTTTTACAACATAACAAATGACTTAAAATTTCACAAGCATAATTTACTGATTACGCTTCATATGCATGCATTCAACCATTATTAACTTCCTGGTTCTGAATCATTTCCTTAGCCTCTTGCATGTGTAACCCTGCAAAAGATGACGTGCTCCTTTTTCTCTCTCCTAATATTTGCATGCAGAACTTCAACAATTCCTAACTGATTCGCCGGCGGGCACAACTCTTGCATGAACAAAGCTAACCATTAACCATCGCTTCTTCCATGCCATAACTCTTGTATTCCAGGTCGAGCGATTGATCTCAAGTCATAAAGGATTCTTATTTGTCAATGTATTGCACATAAGGTATGCAAGGAGTCTCTGTACTAACAATAAATGTATCGATTCATCAACTTTTGCAGCTCCCTCGTGAAATGTCTAACTTTTTGTTTGTCAGTGTCAAGGGATACAGGTAAATATGTGATTGGATTTGATCCTGACTCATCTAGTCTCTCAAAGGGTAGACCATTTATATATTAATTATTGCAAAAGGTTTTACAAAAAGCAAACTCAATGTCTGTAAAATTTTTAATGTAATTGATATATGATGTCATGCTGTGAAAAAACGACCGCAATTTTACGTCCTGAAAACGTGTGGTTGTGATTGAAAAACGTTTTTATAGTTGTTTTTTCAATTATGGGCGGTCACCAAAACAATTCATGTTCAAGTGATAAAAAACGCTTTTAAAAGTAAATTAAAGTGAGTATAAAAGTAAATTCTAGTAAATTTTAGAAATAAATTGGCCCAAATATATATATACATATACATATGTATATATGTGTAAGTGTTTGTAAGTGTTTGTAAGTGTCTGTAAGTATGAGTACTTCCTAAGAACGCGCGCGCTCATTGGTTAATTGGAGGTGAATATTGTACGATATTCACCTCTGAATTTCGGAATATTGAGTCGCCAACAAAATGGCATCTGCCGGCAATCGTTTTGCTATAATTTCCGATGAGGGAATTGAAAAAATGAAAGTAAATGCCATTCCTATCAATACTAAAGAGGCAACGAAGTATGGCTTAAACGTTGTGCTAAAAGTTTTGCTAAAAGTCGCAAACTGAAAGTTTCTGTTTGTTTGTTTGTTTGTTTGTTTATATATATGCAGATATGCGATATGCAGAAATTATGATACTTTTGCATATGCATAAAAGTATATAAAAATGTTATTAGAAATTATGGGATACCATCTCTGATATTTTTTTCAGAAAGCCCTACTGATATAGGCAACCCCCCCCAAAAAAATATCATCAGCGATGACAATCCATAATTTCTGATATACTTTTGATATACTATATATATATATATATATATATATGAAGTGTTTAAAAAACGAGTAGGAGTGTTTTATCAGATATAAAAGCACGAGGCGTAGCCGAGTGATTTTATACCTGATAAAACACGATCTACGAGTTTTTTGAACTGCTTAAAACACTCATGAACAATTTATAAGATTTTGGTTYAACTGGAGCCACCATACACGTCACGAACATGGATTTTTATACTTCGATAGAGATTTGACGTCACGGGCATGCGCAATCAGATTCATAATTCATCCCTGATGAAGTCATCCTCATAGTATTCGAGTGTTCTTTATATTAAGATCACGTGTGTCTTTATATAAAGACACATGTGCCTTTATATAAAATCACTTGAATACTAATGAAGAGGACTTTATCGGGTATAAAGGTTCATGCACGTGACGTGTATGGTGGCTCCAATTGGACCATAAGCTTATGAATTATTAATGAGTGTTTTAAATATATATGTACTGTTTAATAAACGAGCAGGAGTGTTTTATCGGGTATGAGACACGAGGCGTAGCCGAGTGGTTTTAGACCCGATAAAACACGATCTGCGAGTTTATTGAACGGCTTAAAAAACTCTTGATGTATTTTCTCATACTGTACCGAATTCTTTACGAAATAAACCAAGTTTGATAGAGAAAATCCAAGTTAAAGTTTATGCAAATGAAGACGAATCTATATCAGATATAAAACCTCCTTCATAGTCATGATTTCTATTGTGTTTCCTTCATGAATTATTAATGAGTTTTYTAAATATATATATATATACTTGATTGCAGAAACGTTGTAGTATACATATATACATTTATACAAATACCTAGTGAGATGCATATTGCAATTTTACTTTTTTAACCCTCAAAACCAATTGATTTATAATCTGTAGGATGTAAAACACAAGAATAAAATATTTTGACGTTCATTGAATGAACAAATAATAAACAAAGCGAGTTTTCTGTTTTGCATATCATTAAATATACTGAATAAATTAGATATTTGTATAAATGTAAACTACAACCTTTCTGCAATCAAGTGTATTTAAGCAATAGAATTCTCCCAATTCTCCCAACCCCCGACTGTTGTTATCAGGCTATGTAAACACAGAGAAAAAGTTTTCTATTGCTTTTATAAAATAAATACTAAGGGAAAACATTACCACTTGATAGAAAATAAATCTTTATTTGAGTTTGATTTTCATTTCAAAATACAAATTCTCCATACATCACAAACTGCAATCGTTAGCCAATTAAATTTCGTTTAATAAACGCCAAGGAAGCAAATGTGAAGCGAGAAAGAATCGCTAGCTATTTTAAACATTTATCATTCTAAAACTTTAAAACAAATACAAAGAAATGTTCAAAGATTAAATAGAAATCTTAATAAAAGAATTCAGAATTGATTGTCTTTACGAAAGTGATCAAAAGTAGATTAGTGAGTGTCACTGTGACTGGAATTCTCGGTTGAAAGAAACGTGGTTTTGCTCAATTTGACAGCCAGAAAACATGGCAGCGATGTTAAATGTTTCCTCTTTCTTCGAGAAGATATTTTGTGGAGCTGAAGAGCTATCGCTGGAAAAAGTTTGAAGCGTCTGACTGTTTCCTTGAAATAGTTGTATTCCTTMTCGGGCGCGGTGCATTTAAATCATGAGAAAGCACGTCGCTGAACAACCGAATCTGTCCTGACGAAGGACGTGTTGGGCCGTGTTGTAGCTCCTGAGGGAATTCTCTTTGCGGTGACCAACGAGAGATTGTCATGATATTACGATCAGAAAGACTTGCATGAGACCATAGGGTTATGCCTGTGGCCCTGACACAAGTCAAAATTTGGAACTTCGTCTTCAAAATACATTTTTGGGGGCGTTTTTTTCCTCGAAACAAACTGTAAATTTTTGAACTTGTACCGGGGAAAAACGAAAGTTGTGACGTCACAACTGTGTTTACATACCCTCATGCAAACATGGCTATCAACCAATCACAGCGTGCGTACTATTTAATTCATTTTATAAATATATATATATATATATATATACACACACCGAATCCCTAAAACCTTGACAATTTAGCGATATATATACATATGTATGTATCCCCTTTTTCCTATTGTCTTTCCTTGAAAATCCAGGTAAGACAATAGAAAAAAGGGGGATACACATATATGTATATATATCGTTAAAGTGTCAAAGTTTTAGCGATTCGGTGTATATATATATATACACTCGATTGCAGAAACGTTGTAGATACATTTATACATTTATACAAATATCTAATGAGATGCATAATGCAAAATAACCATTTTCAACGCTTAAAACCAACTGATTTATAATCTGTACGATCTAAAAGACAAGAAAAAAATATTTTGACAGTCATTGAATGAAACAAACAATAAATAATGCGATTTTTCTGTTTTGCATATCATTAAATATACTGAATAAATTAGATATCTGTATAAATGTATACTACAACGTTTCTGCAATCAAGTATATATATATATATATATATATATATATATACAGCCGTTTGCAAAAATTATCAAAAGTATATCAGACACGGCGGCGGGATATCTTACTTGATATTTTGTTCGGAAAGCCCTAGTGATAGACAACTCGAAAAAAATATCAGGGATGATATCCCATAATTTTTGATATGCTTTTGATATACTTGTATATACATTGGAAGCGGCCATAATTTAGCGTATACCATCTTGTGTACTTCCTAAGAACGCGCGCGCTCATTGGTTAGTTTGAGGTGAAAATTGTACGATATTCACCTCTGAGTCTCGGAATATTGAGTCGAGAACAAAATGGCATCTGCCAGCAATCGTTTTGCTACAATTTCCGATGAGTTTCTGTTTTTTTGTTTTTATTGAATTATTGTATATAAAAATAAGTTACTCTGTACACAAGCTGCTAAAACAATTATTCGCCTCAGGCTCAGTGAATATGGAGAATATTTGCCTCGCCGCTCGAAGACTCGCGTCTCGGTAAATATTCCCCGATATTCACTGAGCCTTCGGCGAATAATTGCTAAATATATTTGCATATGCGGTAATATGACTTCATGTAATGGTAACTATATGACTATGTGTTTATAATCATCGTTTTATTTATTTATTTATTTTTTCATTATTATTTTTTTTACAAAGTCCTGGTAGCGTTATTGTCCAGCTTGAGGTTGGTGCGGCTGAAGCGGAAGCTGAAAGTTTGATTCAAACAGCAAATCGAGTTCTTAACAATGACAAAGCTTTGGATTTAGATCCAAATTTCTTCTTGGTTCAAGATCTACAAGGTTAGTGTACATTATTTTAGGATCGTTATTGTTAATATGTAGTCATTTGTTGATATTTTTATTGATTCCCGTTGTGTAGGTTCGAAAGGCTGCAGACCTCCAGCTATTAGTCTGAGCTTGTCGCATCAAATGGACAACCCAACGCTCACACTCAAATCAGAGGACTTTACAGTGACGTCAATTATTGGTCTAGAGTCAACGAAAAGCTGTTCTCATAACGTATCAATAGAATTTGAGTGGGTGATATCAAGGCTTCCTGAAGGAAGTGACTATTTTGAGAACAGAACAACTATCACAAAGGGTGCATCCGAAAACTCGTTGAAAATAGGCAAACGAACACTCCAGTACGGTATTTACTACTTAGAGCAAAGAGTGGGAATTCCAAAAACGAGACTATTTAACTATAACTTTGGCTTCTTTGAAGTGCGAAAAACACCGCTGCGCGCAGTCCTCACTGGTCCGAAAGTTGTTGCTAGGGGTTACAACGACTTAATAGTTATGAATGCCTCATCGTCGTATGATCCAGAGCCCGCAATAAGATCGAGTGATGGCATGACTTTTCAGTGGTTTTGCAAACGACAAGAAGAAAAGTTGCACGGCCTTCGTGATATTGTTTCTCGTTCGCGTATCCCGTTAGTACATATCCCGGGCCCTAACGAGAAACTTGTTGAATCTGGATGTTTTGGAACTGGAATAGGAAGAATAAACGAATCTGGTCCAATCCTGAAGCTTCCTGTCAATAAGATAAAAGCTGGCCTAAAGTATCAAATCATTGTGATTGCCATAAAAGACTCAAGGGAAAAAATAGCAAAAAGTGTAGTTAAAGTTGATCAAGTAGCAACAATGAAGGTCAAAATCTCGTAAGTATATCAAACAGATTTTCTGGATAATAAACATGCAAGAAAGGAGACTGAATATCTGTAGCAAAGCCATAAATGAATGAATAAAAGGAATGGATGAATCTAAAATAAAGAAATTGTACAAGGTAATTTAACATTAACCTTTTTCCTTTTATTCCAGATGCAAACAAAATTGTGGAAAATATTCACCCGAGCAAAGCATGATCCTCCAGGCCAGCTGTAAGGGTATCATATGCCAGGAACATCTGAAATATACCTGGAAAGTTATAGAAAAAAAGGTTTTGGGCAGCAATGTCAGCTGGGAGTATGCCAATATCAACTATGTCTCTACGAAGCAAGAAGCAGACGTTTCGAGAATATCTATATCCAAAGGAATATTGAAGGTTGGTGTGAAGTACATGCTTGAAGTCACTGCCAAATCTCATTCCGGGACAGTTGCGATGTCAAATTTTACTCTTAATGCGAACGAAGCACCGCGAGGTGGTAAATGTTTCGTGGATGCCCGTGTTGGAGAAGCTTTCACTACAGTCTTCAACTTCACTTGCTCGGGATGGATAGACGAGGAACCACCGCTCACCTACAAGTTTCAATTTACAAAGCCATCTGGAGTTGAGGTGCTCTTACAATCCAGCCACATGGCTAATGTATCGACGAAACTGCCAGTCGGATATGCTGACAATGATTATGATCTCCCCATGAACGTTTTTATCGTTGATTCAGTTGGAGTTGGTATAGACGTGCAAATTGTTGTAAAGGTGAGTGAAAAAGAGGCGGGAATTTTTTTTAAAGGCCTTACTCAAAAACATGCACATTTTGAACTATAAATGATGAAAATATGAACATTGATTAAATGGGAAAAATTTTAAACTAAAATAAAATTTCACATTTATCATTTTTTCCATTTGATCAATCACTATACTTTCACTATTCATATGAAAACTGAGCAATGTTTTTTGAATAGGTCTGAGATGATGGCATTTCAAGGTCATGACACAATTGCAAGGCTACCCTTTCTTTTGTTCTGTTTTCTTCTTCATTATTTCTATCTTTTATACATAAATGATAACTTGCATGCATGTTTAGAAGTATCTTTATCATGTAAATCTCTATACTATTACCAGAGTAAGCCTTGGTTGACACCTCTTTATACATCTTCTGCTTCTGGTAAAAAGGTATGTTATGTTCAGCAGTGTATACCGTACCCAAATACCTATAAAATATTTTGAGTATCGCTCGACTTATTTTATAGATAGCCTTTTTTAAAAAGCTAAATTGCACAGGGAAAAAAAATTATTTTCGTTAAGATGAAATTCTAGATTTAGTAGATATTACAAGCTTTTTAAATATGTATTTGGCCACGCAGCATACACTTATCATAACTTTTCTCTTCAGAATTATAACTGATTAAACTAATAACTATTCTGAAAAAAAAGCCGGAAATATATTATAATCGTAATAAAATGTGATATGGGATAAAACTTACATATCCCAAATGGATCGATATRAAGAACTCGCAAACCTCTAAAAGTAATCCTAAAGCTTATATTTGCCGAACCTGCCTTTTTTTGATCTTAGAACAACAGAAGAGCAATAGAATCAACGAGAGACCATGCTCTCTTAAATCACAAGTTAAGGGGCTGTTTTTCCGGACGTATATGGCATGCTATTTTTTATCTGGTTTCTTTAATTAGGAGTTTTTTCCTGTGGGAGATAATATAATAATGTCATAATTAATTATTTAGGCAGTAATCGGAAAGAAAGACGTCCCCCAGTTTCTCTTTATTCTTTGTTTTTCTGTTGAGCGATTTCAAAGTGCAGTCAAAATGCACAAGGTTAATGAAGTAAAATATAAGGGATTCTGTTTGCAATTGTTCAATATATTGAATTTTAAAATAATTCGAGAACATATAAATAAACCACTACTTGAGTACCGTTTATCAACTTTTGATAACCATTTTTGTATAAACAAAAATGTCAGATTGTTGAAACGTCTATGCAATTTACTGATAACCAGTAAATTGATAATTGCTCATTATAAGTATCTCCAAAATACACAAAAAACGTGCATATTGAACTTCCATACAAACAGCATGAATGATTTGCACTATGTTTGCAAAACAATAAAGAAATGAAAAGGAAAGGAAAGGAAAGAAAAGAAAAGAAAAGAAAAGAAAAGAAAAAAATGAAGACTGCTGTAAGATAACCACCCATTAAGATATGTCAGTGCAGATCAGACGACTCACAATAATACTTCTCTTGTTTAGGTTACCCCGATTAAGGTAGAAAACTCGACTTTGTACCATTACACAGTTGGAGAAAAGAGTAGGCTTAGCGTGCTATTGAAAAATAATAATATTAAGCAAGCTACAAATCTGGCCAATGAAGTCCTTTCAATGATGTCTAGTGATGCTGTGAGCAACATGACAATGCTTGATAAGATCAAGGTTAGTAGCCAAGCGCTTGCTCTATGACTTTGATACATAAAAAACATCCTTTTTTACGAGGGTAGCACTTAATAGCCAGGGGCTAACAAACCTGTGGCCCTCGTTCCGTGATCGAATTGGAATATAGGAGTTCATTTTTTGTATATACATTAAAACTCGGTTTAGAGGGTAACGCTAAATAGCACGACGCGTAGAGGTACTGGTACTTACAAGAGAGGACGCGCAATTGGAGATCACTCGTTTAAACCAATGGAAATTGGAAGCCTTATACGCGCCTGATTCCAAAACGAGGTTAAAATCCCTTTTGATCCCGGTACAAATACAAGTAACTAATAATTTTGTCATGGCAAAAATATCAATCACTCGTGTCTCATGCGCGCATCATATCGAGCTAATGATAAACAAATCAAGGAATCTGTAAGGAAGCCACTTTACAATACTAATACCTAATCAGAAACCATCAGACAACTAAATCAGATAGCTGTGACTACTATCGTTAATCTGATGATTACTTAATTGCGCGAAGATGCATATATGTTTTATGGTGCCTTATGATAATTCTATTTTTCTTTAGATAAAGGACAACATGATCAACCACATGGCAAGAGTAAATGTTACTGATATAAAAAAACTAATTCAAGTTGCGTCAGTTGTAGCAGGTATAACAGAAAACCGAACTGAGTTATCACAGATGTCTCAGGTAAACACTTTTAAAAGTATCCAATGTCTTCTAGATAAACATAACATCGAATAGCTAGACGCATCTGGTTATAGGCCTTTTGTCTTGCGTTATGCTCTGTTATCGTGCTACGTTTGTTCAATCTCGCTCACAGAGCCATTATTTCTTGCTGCGCATGCTCGAAGAAATAAATATGACACTTGAAAAATTCAATACTTCCTACCTCCTGATTAATCCTTAAGAGAACAACAAAAACTGAAACCGGAAATAAAATTAAGTTCACTACTAGAAGCGCCGACTTCCATCGGCTCGACTACAAAGATGATTTTGTAGCTCAATTTATTTACTTTAATAGTAAAATGTTTTACAATTCCTTTGAGAGAATGCATCAAGATGAGATCATTTTATTTACATTAAATAAAAGTAATAAACATGAACTGTACGTATTCGATTTTGAGCTATGGATACTCTTACCCCTTCTCTCTTAACGTTTGCACTTGGTCCAACTTTAGTGAATATAAAAGGAAAACAGTACTTTTTAGATTGGTGTATCAGTCGCAAATGCCATTCCGAGTGCCAAGTATACACGAGTGCCAAGCATACACGAGTGCCAAGCATGATACACTTTTGATTTGCAGTATCCAGTTGACAACACGGATAGCCGAAGCCAATTGCATTGAAAGCAAGAGTTTTAAAACGTTGTCCGAATGCATTTATGTTTTTATCTGGTCCGTCATAATGCGCATGTGAGAGATACTTAGAATCTCGGTCCTCCAGATTGAATTTTTCCAGAACCTTTTATTTAGTCCACCATGTCTAGTAAGAAATGATAACACCTTTGGGAAAGAGAATGTGTTTTGTTTGTTTGCTTTGTTTTGTCCTTATTTAAAGCTGGTTTTTTTTTTTTGGTAATCATTTCCTCTTTTTTTCCCCTGACTAGGTAAAGTCAGTGAGTGTCCTTGAATCCATGACAAAAGCTTTTCATGGTATTTCGATTGAAGTTAAGAAAGGTTCCGCGCGTATGGTGAATGAAGCAAGTACAAACCTCCTACATGGCATGGGCAATATCCTGGATACCTATGCCTTTACTGCCGAAGCCTATTCTAATAAAGAAGAACTTCCTTTTGTCAGCAGCAATGATACTAAAAAAGAAAAGGTATGATCTCGATGTTTTGTTTATAAGGTTAACTTTGACATTTGTCGCGAAGCTGCAAAGCATGTACAAAGTATATTATTTAATTATGATTTGATCATGCTGGGAGTGCTTATAAAGGCTTCCCTTTTTCGATCTACGCGTCCCAGGTGATCTCGCCCCGAAGCGCGCAAAGGATTATTTGTCAAATCGAACAGTTCCTAATACCCAGTCTAGCTCCTATTTTATAGTATCTCACGGTAATCAAAATGGCGGCGGTTGATTAATTAAGGTAATTCCCTTGCTTTGCACTGCGCATTTTTTTGCGTGTGCGACTAAAAGCATGGAACTATCAAAGTTTGGGCATTTTTCTTTCGGAAACTAAATAAGAAACGTGCTCAAAACCAATTTTAACTTTTTTCTYTTTTTTGAGTAGAGAAATTGCGATATTTATCTGTATCGCCCCAGTCTCCACTCGGAAAAGTGTCAGTTTTCGATTATTTTAAAATGTTTTTTCAAGATAAATCAAAAACGAGAATGGTGGCCCCCATTTTTTATTTCAGATTTTTGATAAATGCGATGTTCTACATTATATATGAAAATATGAAGAAAAGTTTATTGGATAGATTTTGAAATATTTTGATGATGAGATGAGAATAGTTGACATGTGAAATTTTTGGACGTTCGTAGAGGCGCACATACCTGCATTTTTCACTAATAGTTCAAGAATCATAGTCACCCAATGACTTTGATGGATTTAATAGTATAGAATATCTAGTAAACTTCGAGTTATAAGTACGTTTTGTATACGAAAGTACTTTTAACTGTGAATAAAGGTTCTTGATTACAGCTTCCGGTTGCTATCGCATTTCACTATAAACCCCATAATATAAATTGACATTTTTGAAGAGCATCTAACGAAAAAACGAGAATGGTGACACCCCACCTTTTTAATGCAGTTTTTAAATATGCATAGCATAATTAATGCCCATGCAAAGTTTCAGGACAATGTTRTTGGCAAAATTTCTTTCGAGGGAATTACCTTAAGACAACACCGATGTTGCTTACTGTTATTGTATTTATTCTTTGTTTTTATTAATTTTAATTGCTGAAAGGGAAAGAGGAAGCTTTTCTGGTACATCTAACGTAAAATATTTCAATGTAAAGTCATATTTCAACGTATTAAAAAGGTTAACTCGAAATACGACTACATTTTTAAATTCATTATGAATCTTTTGGCGATGCAACAATAACGATTCTGATTGGTTAATGGTAACCGAAAGTGCTTGCGCGAGATCACATGGTCATGCTTTTTACTGAATGTTTTCTCCTCTTCTGCCGCCTAACCCCCACGAGCTTTCTGACTGCAAACGGCACGCGTGATTGTTTTTTTATATCCTCACTTTACATGTAAACAAACTTACAGACGTTTCGAAAGGTTAACTGACATTTTAATAGGGTACCAAGCCAAATATTCAAATTTTAGATTTTTCCCAACTCATCAATATATATTTTTTCCTTTCTAATTCCAATGCATTTTCCATTGCTGATTGCGTTACTATCCTGCATTCGTTCTAGGCTGTCAGCAAGAAAACAATCAAAAAAGTGATGAAGTTAATCGAGATTATAAGTGACACTCTGTTATCAACCATGAGTCCTGGAGAAAGGCCAGCGCGAGTAACAACTAAAAAGATCGAAATGGTCGTTCGAAGAGGGGATGTAGAAGACATTGGTAAAGAAAGACTGGACCTTGACGGCGGGGGCGTAATGTTCCCAGATAGCAAAACCCTATTTGGCAGCCAAAACAAAACCCCATCGCATTTAGACACGCAGGTATAGTACTATATATATATATATATATCGATAGCGAACCAGGTTCAAAGTAATAGTCCGTCATTGTATCCATATTGTCCGTTTTCTCTTTTTCTTTTATTTGTTTTATTTTGCATCTTTTATTCTTCGATCTGACCATCATGTGACATTCTGCAATTCTGTTTACGTTAATTGGTGCTATTTAATGCTCTGGAGCACGTTTTCTCCAGTAAAAGATAAGATCATCTAAGAGACGTAACAAGGAAATGTAGCATCTCAACTTTGGAAAACGCAATAATGAGCAGTAACACTCGATTCAAGTCAACACCATTTATTTTCGTTAAAAAAAMCCCTGCAAAATGACAAGTGGAAAAGCATAAATATAATTATATAGCATCTCTTTKTTATAACTCCACAGATACTGATTTTAAAGAATAATCCATTTAAATGGGATAGCTCAGCCAATCAAGTATCTACTCCAGTGCTAAATATAGAGCTAAAAGACGATTCGGGTAAAAAATTGAAAATCGAAGGACTCGAAAAGGAAGTAGAACTGCTTATCAAAACTCCACCAGGACAGTCTGATGGTCCTACTCTTAGCACCTTCTGCAAACCAAGTGTTAACGGTAGTATGCTGTACCATACAACGAACATAACAGGCAATAACAAAGGTATTCATATAATACTTATGCCCGAGACTCAGCAAAGACTCGAGGTTTTCGTGGGCTATAGAAGAAGACCAACCGCTTTTAACTATGACTTCAAAGTATCTGTTCCTGATACCTCGCACTGCAACAAATCGGAAAACTGCACGGAAAACTATATGATTGCCGTTCCTGCTAACATGACTAAATATCCAGGAGTCTATTACATTGGTGTAAGAAATCCCGGAAGAAAGGATAGCAATGTTAAATCGAGAAGAAGAAGATCATGCTCAGAAGCAGGACGTCAGAAACGGTCTGCAGTGTGTGTAGAGTTTAAAGACCCGCCAACTACTCCTCCCCCGACACCACAGGCAGTGATTCCATCATACGACCCTACRACTGATATCAACTACACTATATCTGTATCTGTCAAATCCTGCTTGTATTGGTCAGAAGCGAAAGAAAAGTGGACAAACTATGGATGCCGTGTAAGTAGCATATGAAAATCACGAAGTGATGTTTTAGCGTACGTAGGTCAACTAATACCCCGTTCATACAAGACCTTTAAACATCATTTTTATAAGAGTTGTGTAGTTTAACTAGTGGCTGGCTGTTTACACTGCGTGCTCAGCTAATAAAACAAGTTCCAAAACTGGTTTAACTAAACTACCTTGTACTGAAGCTAGACCAGAATGCACCACGTTCGATATCTTAGAAAAGTTCTATGGAAGCTAAAATGGCTATTGAATTTTTGCAATTTGAGTATGTTGATAACGACATTATTTCAACCCTGTCTAGCCCTTATTTACCTGGCACTAAAGCTTATTGTCTTAAGAAGACAATGCAGAGGAAGGGAAAAGTTATTGATAAGAGTCAAAATAATTTAAATGTTTTTTTTCCCCTAAAAATCATCAGGTGTCCAGTAGAGTAGTGAATGATTCGTTGGTTTGCCTCTGTAGTCATTTGTCTTCATTTGGTGGTGACTTCTTTGTGGCACCAAATCCAATAGACTTTGATCAAGTATGGGCAGGTTTGACAAGCATCGGCGAGACCAAGAACTTTGTAGTGCTGGCCACATTATGTACTATATTTTGTCTGTATATCGTCACTGTGGTATTTGCCAGAAGAGCAGACAGAAATGACAAACAAAAGGTAATAAAGGCAGCAATTTTAACTTTAAATGTGAATATTTCACAAAGCAAACGATTCGGTGGCCATGCAACTTGATGACATGCAGCAAATTATTTCGTGCCATGGCTTTAAAGATGTCCCGTTCTTGGTTATTCACTTTCACGTATAGTGACAATTCCATCATTTTTTTTTCTTTTCAGATTACGCAAGCAATTCCTGTGTCTCAAATAACTGATGACAGTTACTGCTACGAAATCACAGTCTACACAGGGATATGGCGAAGATGTGGGACTACTTCCAACATAGCAATGAACTTGTGCGGAGAAGATGCTGAAACGGGAACCATATCTCTATCGTATAATGCGATGTGTGACAAGCAACTCTTTGGTCGAGGAAGTGTCAACGTCTTCATGTGTCCTACAGCTAAAGCTCTGGGTGATTTGAATCATATACGAATATGGCACGACAACTCAGGGGACCATCCGGCGTGGTTCTTGAGGCAGATCGTCGTTCGTGATATCCAAACGGACACAAAATGTTTTTTTATTTGTAATAAGTGGCTTGCAATTGAAAAGGAAGATGGCAAAATTGACCGAGTACTTTATGTTTCTACTAATCGCGAGATTAACGGATTCAAAAACAAATTTTGCAGCAGAGCAGCGACAGGCATCGGTGATGGACATCTTTGGGTATCTGTGGTGACAAGACCTCCCACAAGCCCATTTACACGAGTCCAGAGAGCAACGTGTTGTCTGTGTGTCCTTATGACGGCCATGGTTACGAATGCCATGTTTTATCAATTTGGAGAGGAGTCTAAGGATTCTTTCAAGTTTGGTCCTCTTGTTGTCAGCCTAAAACAAATCATAATTGGGATTCAAAGCAGCATTATCGTCGTTCCAATAAACATTCTAATCGTTTTGCTATTCAAGAACGCAAGGCATAAAGACGAAAATTCTGTCAAACCGAACGAAGATGATGAATCTTCTGCAGATGGAGCAAAAAAGAAGTCTGGATTGCCACATTTTGTTGTGTATATTGCTTGGACCCTTGTCATCCTCGCATCTCTGTCATCTGCAGCATTTACTCTGTTTTATAGCATGATGTGGGGAAGAGAGATTTCAAACCAATGGCTTACGTCCATTTTGGTCTCTTTTTCACAAGATGTCATCTTCATCCAGCCAATTAAAGTTCTCATTGTGGCAATATTGCTTTCATTTATTATAAGAAAAGCACCAGAGGAAGAAGCATCTAAAGATAAAAATGCCGGAAAAGACTTTGCTGCTAAGGATTATTCCAGAGTCGCTGGTGAAGTCAAGGAACCAAAGTCACCAAAGAATGAAGAATTGGAGGCGTTCCGCCAATATAGAGTGCGAGTGTTGATGATGGCTAGAACCTTGATTGAACTTTTCTTTTATCTCACGTTTGTTTGGATGCTAATGGTTATTTGTTATGGAAGTCGTGATGTTGGAAGATTCTGGATGACAAATGGCTTACAAAATATATTGAAGAAATTTGATAAGGTAAACTGATGAAATTTCCTGGCATTGACAGAACAAAACAATTCCGCACTTATTGTGGTAAGACAGACAAAAACAAACGAACGAACGAACGAACGAACGAACAGACCAACGGACCAACGGACCAACGGACCAACGGACCAACGGACCAACGGATGAACAAGTTTAGTTCTATAAACTTTTATTTTTTTACTTTAACAGGTTAAAAACTCAGATACCTTTTGGGATTGGTCCAAGAACACACTCGTTCCAGGGCTTTACAACGCAGAGTGGTACAATGGCAAGGAGTTCGAGTACAAGGAGGGCTTCATTTCCAATAGAGTCGTGTACTTGGTTGGCATGCCACGTTTAAGACAACTGCGAGCAGTCACAGGTTTGAAACTAATTGTTATCTTGGCGTGTATTTCTTAACTTAGGAATAACATCTTCAGTTTCCACTAATGGCTCCAAAAATTAAATGCTTGTAAGAAGTTAGTTCATTGACGACGTTACATTAATTTTCAAGTGTTCAGAGATGGTATTGTTGAGATTGAGGGAAACCAAAACCCAAAGCGCTTTTAAAAATCTTTGTTTGATATCCCAGGTTTATCATATTTTATATTTAGTATCACAAGCTTATCGTTTAAATAATTTTACGTTGCAGATGATTGCCCAGTAATGTATCTTTATCCCAATTTTACAAGTACGCTCAATCCTTGTGTACCCCAATATTCGTTCAAAGCTGAAGACAAGACTTTATATAATTTGCCTGGATGGTTTCCACTAACTGACAACGAAACAAAGTTTTTCTCAGAATTTGAACTGTTCAAGATTTGTCCACGTCCTTGGCGCTATCGAACGGCTACTGATCTTCACAACCTGCCATTCCAGGGTGAGAAAGATCTGTATGGAGGAGGAGGGTATATAGCTGATCTTGGATATACCCAAGGGTCTGCTTTGAGGGTTTTGGAAAACTTGCAATCAAATTCCTGGATTGATGAGAAGACGAGAGCAATTTTCGTTGAGTTTTTGGTGTTTGAACCTTCCAGCAGCTTCTTTAGTGCCGTGACGTACCTTTATGAGAAACCATCAATGGGCGGAGCTGTCACATATACCTCTGTTAAGACAATGTCACTCTATGGCGCAAGATCCCACGGACTACAGTCGTTGTATGCAATATGTGAACTCGTTATTATCCTTATCGTTATTTATTTCGTTATTGCCGAGCTGATCAAGGTTTATAGGCAGCGTTGGGCGTACTTCAAATGTCCCTGGACATGGGTCGAAATCACTCAAGTGCTGGCTGCAATGGCAACGATTGTTCTATCCATATTCCGTCGCTACCATGCCACGCAATTAGTCAACAAAGTACATAAGAATCCATTCAAGACTTCAAGCTTTCACTACGTAGTGATGTGGTCTGAAGTAGAAGGTGCACTTATGGCAATCCTTATCTTTATCATTACCATTAAACTATTACGCATTCTGAAGTTTAACCAACACATCAGCGTGCTGGCCAAAAGTATGGCAAAATGTGGTGAGAAATTGGTATCGTATTCTGTAGTTTTCTTAGTGGCGTTCCTAGCATTTGCTCAAGTGGCCGTACTGGTATTTGGATCGACAGTTCCCTCATACTCCAGCGTCGTTCAAGTTTTCCGTTCACAATTCTCAATGTTTGTTGGCGGAGAAACAGATTACCAGTCTTTAAAAGAAGCTAATGGTATCTTGGGCCCAATTTATTTCTTTGTATTCATGACGGCGATGGCAACCATTTTAATAAACATGTTCCTTGCAATCTTGAACGAAGCGTATCGAGAGGTGCATGTCTTTAAAGATATCGTTCCAGAGGAATATAAAATGCTGGTTGTATTCCTTGACTATGCAGATTTGCGTTTGAGGAAGAGCTTTGCCAAACTGAGGGAGACCAGGCTTTTCCCGAAGAAGCACAAATACGAGATCAAAGAAGGATTGATGAATTGCGAAAACGAGAATGGAGAGTATCAAAAGTATACTGCTATTGAATATGATGAAAATAAAGCGTTTCCAGGCTATTTTAACGAGGAGGACTATGAAGATAATATGATATCTTCCATCAAAGGTTGCTTCAAAACCTTACGATATGATCTTTCAAATCTCCTGTCTCGCTCCAAAACATACAAGGTCCACAAAGCATCTAAAATGAACAAGGCCTTTACGCCAGACCTTGATCATTGTCATTGCCAAGGATACAAAATGAAAGCAAAGTCGATTTCCCGCAGCCTCCAAAACATCACCGATGACTTTTGTAGGAAGAAACGTAAAGATGAAGTTCAACTGTTGGGTGACTATGATGAAGGATACGATGCTATACAAGATGAATCAGACATAACATATTCTGATTCCGAGTCTGAGTTATACACAGGAAGATATCAATTGCTTACTAAACCTGACCGGGAATCAAACATCTGATCAAGAATAATAGGACAATAACATGACTTTTGGAGGGCATATTGTTTATTTGTGGCCCGAGTAGAATCATTTGCGCCCTAGCGTAGCGAGGGAGCAAATGTTGCTGCAAGGGCCACAAATGAACAATATGCTGAACCAAAGTCATGTTATCATTATGCATCATCAATATACTAGGCGAAGTTGACCGTACGAGATTTTTGGAGTCGAATCTTTGGCAGGCTGCAAACGTATTTGCGGCCCGCCAAAATCCATTATCGCCCGCTGGTCGCGCGTGTTCAAGAGGGCAGAGTTTGTTGTTTGGCCTTGTATGTTGATGATCATGGTATATGATTGTTAAAAGGGCTAGTAGAAATATATGAGTGCATGCAGCATTAAATAGCCCTAAGCCAAAAACATGCCAATTAGAATGGGCCAATAAAGATAATTCTAATGGGCCAAGAAATGTAAAGTTCATTTTCAATATGGATTCTAATGTGTTCTAAAGAGCATGCCTAGTAAACATAGCCACACTCTTGACAGTGATTATGCATGCCATGGAAAATACAACCTATTTATCTTGGTTTTTCAAAAATTATACAGTACTAGTATTAATAAATAGTTCAATCATGGTAGTACTTAACGACAAGCTACGAAAGTAGTTATCTCTCTGGATTTCATTGCTTGTACGCTTTTGATTACTATAGTGGGTATCAAACAAAAAAGTACGCAACTGCCAGAAACAATGATAACGATAATTAAAAAGCAAAAGCGACCAAAGCTAAGCAAAAGCCTAGCAAACATATCCTTGGCTAAGCTAAATTGTTGAAATGTCATTGCCATGTGAATGAATGTAGTTATCCGATATATTGATCGACTATAATAGCCGGATGGCACGTTCTATGAATTGTATATACCTATGTTAACATCAGCATTTATTTATTAATGAAAAGATGAAAAAGAAATATAGAGCGCGAGAGCTTTTCAGCCTTTGTAAGCCATTTGTGAACTTCCCTCTCTCGTTTTTAATACAACTATTTAAAAAAACGCTATGTCGTTCGGATATCTGGTCGTCGCTCAAAGGTGGTGGCATACTCAGTTATAACTTGTTTTGAACTTCTACCTTATTACACAAACTTTTCGCGTCATGTCAATTTAACGTAACAACAAAAAGTAAAAAAAAAAAATGTCGCGTTACTTCCTTGGATTTGAATTGAGTATGACGGACCACTGGATAGGTGCCAGTCTACTTTTTTTCTGGATTCCAAGGTCTTTTATCCCTTGATTTTTAATAGTCATTAATTCTTTATTTTGTCAATAACTGAAGGTCACTTATTTTTACCTCATTTTATTTTCGCGTAACTTTGATTTCGGGATTTTAAAAATATCACGAAAATCGCAAAATTAACGTGTCTCGAAAATTTCCTTGCAGCCGAATGAGGTAATAAACCCAAGACAATACAATTATCACTTTCCTTCATATTTAAAATTAACCATAGAGCATTTCGGTCTCAGATTTTAGCCTTTAAGATCTCCGACCGACAACGTTTTTGAAATAGGTGTATATTTAAAGAAATGCTGGAATGTGTGAATGCAGGAGAAAAGACATAAGAAGAGAAGAGAAGAAAAGAGTAGAGGAGAAATCATAAGAAAAGAAAAGCTGTAAAATCAAAACACTGAAGATTTATTTATATTTATAAGATTGATTTATTAGTATCATTATTGTTGATTCAGTTGTGYATGCAGTAGGACCAAGTACTTCTATTTACAAATTAAGATAAAGTTCATAACATTTGTTTATATCTAAATGGACGCACTCTGGTTATGGACCATTTAACTGTTTTTATCAGAGGGTTTTGAAATATTTAAGATGCATCTATGCTCAATCCTTGCTCTGGTCCTATACTTTGATAAAAAGGAATATTCGATAAAGCATTCCTACATGGGATTGCAAGCACGCCCTATTTCAGTCAGATTCTGTCAGTAGTTCAGTTTTATTTTAATTTCCGCGCAATGTCTTCAAATTGAGATGATAAACTTCCTTCTATGAACTGTTCTGGTTCTGGTTTTCTCGAATACAATTCATTGTTGGGGGAAGATAAATAAAACAGGTGTACTTGGCAGCCTGTAAACAATCTACTCTTTTGATCTATGATTWGATACATTAGATAATTGATTGAAATTGTAAGATATATATAGGTCATAATAATAATAAACGGCAATCTTGGTGCACTGTGTATTCAATTCTTAGATGGAACCCTCACTCAACTCCGACTGCACGACTCTGCGCTCCCTAAAGGTATCCCTAGCCTCTTTCTCACTCCTACGCACAAATCCTCGCCTCTTACCAGAGCCAAAATAATTTCTGAAAGTCGTCGAACGCCGAGCTAAATTCCAATATGATCTGTGAGATACCGCATTCTGACTTAAATTAGCCCAGAAGCTGTTTCAGCGTGAGCGACATCCCAACAACCAACAGGAATAACACACACACAGGGAGCCCACGCAACAATGTTTGAAATAAGATACATTGTGCGTTTAATTTATGCTGTTTCACGCGTCTTTAAAAAGGAACGAGTATTCAGATTCTCCAACAACCAAAAGGAATAACACGCACAGGGAGCCCACAGTAACAGTGTTTGAAATAAAATATACCGTGCGTTTAATGCTGCTTCACGCGTCTTAAAACAGGGTCCGTACAGAATCCTCAGTGAAAATTTCCAAAACATTTCCAAAACTTTTGCAAAGCCCATTGACCTAAATTTCCAAAACCACACTATGAAAACAAATGAGTGGAATCCATGAAATAAAAGCAATAAACATACCAAGGTTCGTACAGTTTTCAGCAAGCTCTACTATTGCTCTAATGTGTGGAGCAATACCACTGAGAGTAACCTGAACAAAGTCCAAGCTGTGCAGAACTTCGCATGCCGTATCATTAGCAACAAAAGAAAGTACGATCACGTCACGCCTATTCTTAAAGAG